GTGTTTTCTAATTTTCCGTAGTGAAATCAATATTTATTTATTTTTAAATATGTTTCTATTGATTTTTTAGAGAGGAAGGGAGAGAGAGAGAGAGAAAAACATCATCGGCTGCCTCCTGCATGCCCCATACTGGGGATCCAGGGGGAAACCTAGGCATGTACCCTTGACCTGGACCAGACCTCTCAGTCCATGGTACCAGGCTCAATCACTGAATCACATCGGCTGGGGAAAATCAATGTTTTTTTTGTTGTTGTTGTTGTTTTTATCCTCACCCGAGGATATTTTTCCCTTTTTTTTTGTACAGATAGAGTGGGAGGGAGAGAGAGGAAGGGAGAGAGAGAGAGAAACATCGACGTGAAGGGACACATCGAGTGGCTGCCACCCGCACGACCAACCAGGGCTGGGGACAAACTGCAACCGAAGTACGTGCCCTTAGCGGGAACTGAACCCGGGTCTCTCCGGACCGCAGGCCGACGCTCTAACCGCTGAGCCAAACCGGCCAGGGCTCAATGTTTTTAAATGTAGCTACCCACTCACAAAAAAGAAATGTGAAAAATTATACTGGAATGGAATAATTTGTGAGAAATTGAGGTTTCAAATATAAACATCTGATTTACAAGAAACACTTTATAAACAATTTCTAGATAACAGCCTTTCAAATGACAGAAAAGAATAGGGATTCCCAACTCCCTACACAGGAGGTCCTCAATGGCCAAGCACACTCTGAGAGCTCAGGACTGAACTCCAAACAACTGTCCCAGGTACTTGAAACTAGAACCCACGGGCAAGTTACATTTGGCCTTCACAGTGTGTGAAAGAAAAGTGAGCCAACATTGAAAACTGGAGAGATTTTACATAAAAACCTGGATTTCCAGATTCTCTTGGAAATACTGAGAGGCCCAACAACACTGAACCAGTGTGCCTGCAGGGAAGGGGATGCCAGCTTGCCACAGTCCCCACCCATTCTTTTTGTGCCCCACACCCCAACACTGAGGTGGAACGAGACTGGCCATATATTATCATACTTGTGCCACCCTGGCTGGTGTGGCTCCATTGGTTGACTGTTGTCTCATGCACCGAAATGTTGTGGGTACGATCCCTGGATCAATGTTTCTCTCTCACATTGATTATACTTTCTCTCTCTCTCATTCCCTTCTTCTAAGCATGTCCTTGGGTGAGAGTTTAAAAAAAAAAAAAAATGCACCCTGGCTGGTTTGGCTCAGCGGTTAGAGCGTTGGCCTGCGAACCAAAGAGTCTCGAGTTTTGATTCTGGCCAAGGGCACGTACCTCAGTTGCAGTTCGTCCCTGGCCCTGGTCGGGGTCCTGCGACAGGCAATCAATCGATGTGTCTCTCTCATATCGATGTTTCTCTCTCTCTATTCTTCCCTCACTCCCACTCTAACTCAAGATAAGTGGAAAAATATCCTCGAGTGAGGATTAAAAATAAAAAAAGAATGTGCCTATTTCAAACAGAAAACAAAAAGAGGGAAGCGGTTATCTAAATTAGGCTCCTGCAAACAGGGTCCCCGAGACACGCTGCATTCCTTTCACAAGATGTGTCTGAAACACAACACGAGTCTGAGAAGGCAATTACTGGACCTGATTGGGTGACATTCAAGGATGACTTGTTTGGTTCTAAAAGCAATGCATGGCCCTCTTTAAAGTTAACTGAACTTCAGAATCTTTTTTTGCTAGGGAACCTTCAGGAGCTCCTGAAAACTATATGCCAAAGATTAAACACCTGCTGGCTTCTGCAATGACAGGCCAATGGGACCTACCCACACCTTTTCTGGAGGCCCCATGGTAGAGGGCCACTCTGGAATCTGGACCCACCTAGGTTCAAGCCCCTGGGCTAGCTGCCTCACTTCTGCAAGCCTCACTTTGGGGAGGACACTAATTAAGTGTCATGAGTTTCTGAAAGATTAAGAGAGAAAACACTTGAAGATGCTCTGTACCTGGTCAGCACTCAGTAAAGGAAGGCCATTATTGTTTTTCTGGTATTTACCCAAGACTTTCCTTCCTGATTGGGGCCCTGAGCTCAAGAATCTGTTTCACAGCAGAGAGCCTGGGAACCAGGCTTAGCAAACACTGCAATTTGGATAAGAGAAAATTACAAGAGGAAATAAGGCCAAGGACTCAAGTGTTTAAGCTGCTCTTCAGAAGAATTCAAAGAAAAATAAATCCATGGTCCAGATGTGGAGTCCTCCTCCCATTCCTGTGGGTATCTGGTCCCTGGCAAGCATCAGTTGTTTCTGGCCTCTGAACATTTGAACCCTTCCTCAGGTGTGCCTGGAAGGGAGATGCAAGGAGAAGAGGCCAAAGACAGTGTGGCAGGGGAACCTGGGGGGAGGGGGGGCTTCTGGGAGGGCAGGGCAGCCGGGGTGTGCTGCGCTCCCACCACATTCCGGTTCTGCAGAAATAAACTCCAAGAGCAGTCACAAAGGGGAAATGAGGTCACCGAATACACAGCTGGAAGGGAGAGTCTGAAAGGAGGTGGGTCCTGCCTGCACTGCTTGGTATGGCAAATGCTGGGACAGGAGGAGGGCAGAGGCTGCATGGGACCCTCGTGGGACTCAGGCAGTCAGGGGCAGCGGGGCCCCAAGAATGGGACGGAGAAAAGGAGTGGAGAGTATAGGCTGAGAACTGAGATCTAGCCTAGGAGTTCAGGTCTGATTCTGCTATCACAACCTAAATGGTTTTAGGGGACTCAAAATATTTTTTTACCTATAAACTGAATTATAAAATACCCTCCCTGCCTCTTCACAGGCTCCTGGTGAGATTAACAGGGAGAGAGCTACAGGAATATGGACATGATCCTTTTAGGGTCTCTCTCCCCCATTAAATGCTTCCTTGAAAGCAGGAGCTATGTCTTACCCACTCTTCTCCCCGGTTCAGGGCATACAACAGGTGCTCAACACATGCATGTTGAACTGAGCTGGACCAGGGGAGATGGAAAGGCAAGCTGCCCTGTGTCCTGTGGGCAAGGGTTTCACATCCTCTAATTATACCCTCTTCTAAAAACAGATCTACACATGGACAATGAAAAGAAGGGAAACATGAAATTATTCCTTGTGCCAGGAGGTTGGGATTATATGTAACTTTCTATTATATTATTAAAATGTTTCTAGAGTAAATAAAAACGGAGATGCAAGGAGGTGTTCAGTTTGTGAAAATTCACTGAGCTGAACATTTCTATTTAGGTTTTCGTTTTCCTGTGTTTATATTATACTCCAAGAATTACAATTAAAAAAATGTTTTAAATTGATTTTTTAGAGAGAGGAAGGGGCAGAGAGATAGAAACATCGATGTGAGAGGGAGACGTCGATCAGCTGCCTCCTGCACACCCTCTACTGGGGATCGAGCCGGAACCCCGGGCATGTGATGCTCAATCCACTGAGCCACACTGGCCAGGCAAGAATTACAATTTTTTAAAGCAAGAGATGGATAAACACAAAATAGAGATTGGAGGTTGGGCAGAGAGGGAGACAGAGGACAAGCATGTAAGTAGATAGTATAGGCATTCCTCAGAGATATTGCAGGTTCAGTTCCAGACTACCGCAATAAAGCGAGTCGCCAGTATTTTTTGGGTTTCCTGTAAAAGTTATGCTTACACTATTCTGTAGTATATTAAGTGTGCAACATTATGTCTAAAAAACAATGTACTATACATGCCTTAATTAAAAAATACTTTATTGCTAAAAAATGCTAACCACCATCTGAGCCTTCAGAGAGTTGTAATCTTTCTCCTGGTGGAGCATCTTGACTCGCTCTTAATGGCTGCCGACTGATCAGGGCCGAGGTTGCTGAAAATTGGAGCGGCTGTGGCAATTTCTTTTTTTCCCCCCACTTTTTTCTTTAATTAATTTTTTTCTTTTCTTTTTTTTTTTTTATCCTCACCCGAGGACATTTTTCCATTTTTTTGCACAGATAGAGTGGGAGGGAGAGAGAAGAAGAGAGAGAGAGAGAGAAACATCGATGTGAAAGGGACACATCGAGTGGCTGCCACCCCCACGACCAACCAGGGCCGGGGACAAACTGCAACCGAGGTACATGCCCTTAGCAGGAACCGAACCCGGGTCTCTCCGGACCGCAGGCGGATGCTCTAACCGCTGAGCCAAACCGGCCAGGGCTAATTAATTAATTTTTGTTACAGATGTTTCTCCTTTTCCCCCCAGACACCCTCCTCCCTATTCCGCCCCCGACCCTGACAACGCAAGCATTGTTGTCTATGTCCACTGGTTACTCATACATGCATATAAGTTCTTTGATTTATCTCGTGCAATTTCTTTGAAAAGACAACAATGAAGTTTGCTGCATCGATTGACTCTTCCTTTCATGAACAATTTTTCTGTAGCATGCAATGCTCTTTGATGCATTTTAATACTATAAAAGTTCTTTCAAAATTGAAGTCAGTCCTCTCAAACCCTGCTAGGGTTTTATCAAGTCAGTTCATGTAATATTCTAAATCCTTTGCTGTCATTTGAATAATCTTCACATCTTCACCAGGAGTACACTCTGTCCACAAGAAGCCTTTAATCATTAGACTGCAGCAATTCAATCACTACTTCACATTTTCAGGTTTCATTTCTAATTCTAGTTCTTTGCCTTTTCCACATCCCCAGTTACTTCCTCCACTGAAGTCAAACCCCTCAAAGTCATCCATGAGGGTTAAAATCAACTTTTTTTTTTTTTAATCCTCACCCGAGGACATTTTTCCATTTTTTGTTCAGATAGAGTAGGAGGGAGAGAGAGGAAGAGAGAAACATCGTGAAAGGGACACATCGAGTGGCTGCCACCCGCACAACCAACCAGGGCCAGGGACAAACTGCAACTGAGGTACGTGCCCTTAGCGGGAACTGAACCCGGGTCTCTCTGGACCGCAGGCCAACGCTCTAACCGCTGAGCCAAACCGGCCAGGGCTAAAATCAACTTCTTTCAGACTCCTGTTAATGTTGATATTTTGACCTCTTCCCAGGAATCGTGAATGTTTGTATTTTTTTGTATCCAAAATGTGTTTATTGGGATGGTTCCCCACTCATCTTGATTCGAGGTGTGTTTAGTGCTGCTTCCTTCTGAAGGAGCATCCTTCTGTAAGCCTTGCTTTTCCTCCTGTTGGCTGACAGAGAACAGTGGAACAACCAACACACAAAACTACTGTCTGTGCATGGCTAAAGACGGTGGTGATTTTATAGCACCCTGGGCATTTTACATCCATGAAGTAGGAATTGGGGCTCTGCACCAGACACTTCTTGTGTTTCCTCTTCTCCTCTTCTGAAGGGGGATGAAGGAGATCCTTAGCGAGAGGCATGTTGTCTGGGAAGGTCGTCACCGCCGGAAAGGCTTAATGGTATCTAGAATGTTGAATCCTTTCCAGAAGGTTTTCAATTTACTTTGCCCAGATCCATCAGAGGAATGAATCACTATTTATGGCAGCTGCAGCTACAGCCTTACAACAGGTGTTTCTTTTTTTTCTTTTTAATGTTTTTATAGATTTTTCAGAGGAAGGGAGGGAGACAGAGAGAGAAGGAAACATCTATGAGAGAACTATCATCGATCAGCTGCCCCCTACACGCCCCCTACTGGGGATTGAGCCTGCAACCCAGGCATGTGCCCTGACCAAGAATCGAACCAGTGACCTCTTGGTGCATAGATCGATCTCAACCACCGAGCCACACCAGATGGGCATACAATAGGTATTTCTTAAATGTTAAGATGTGAAAGTCAAAATGACTCCTTGATCCATGGGCTGCAGAAAGGATGTTGTGTTAGCAGGCATGAAAACAATAATAATCTCGTTGTGCACTGTCAGTAATATTTTGAAAGAAACCTTTTTCTTTTTCTGAGCGATTGGCCTCCAATGGGCTTAAAATATTCAGTAAACCATGTTGTAAACAGATGTGCTGTCATCTAGGATTTGCTGTTCCATTCATAGAGCACAGACAGAGCAGCGTTAGAGTTAATTATTAAGGGCCCTATTTTCAGATGGTAAGTGAGCACTGGCTTCTACTTAAAGTCACAGCTGCATTAGCCCCTAACAAGAGAGGCAGCCTGTCCTTTGAAGCTTTGAAGCCAAGCACTGACTTCTCCTCTCTAAGTATGAGAGTAACAGATGGCATCTTCTTTCAGTGTAAGGCTGTTCTATCTACACTGAAAATCTGTTGGTGTAGCCACCTTCATTAATTATCTTAGCTAGATCTTCTGGGTAACTTGCTGCAGATTCTATATCAGCACCTGCTACTTCACCTTGTATTTTTATGTCATAAAAATGGCTTCTTTTTTTAAACCTCACGAACCAACCCCTATTAGCTTCAAACTTTTCTTGTGCAGCTTCCTAATGTCTCTCAGCTTTCAGGGAATTGAAGAGAATTGGGGCCTTGCTCTGGATTAGATTTTGGCTTAAGGGAATGTTGTGGCTGGTTTGATCTTCTATCCAAACTATAATTTTCTCCGTATCAGTAATAAGACTGTTTGCTCTCTTATAATTTGTTCATTTTTTAAAAAATAAATGTTTTTATTAATTTTCAGAAAGAGAGGGAGAGACAGAGAGAGAGAGATATAAAAATATCGATGTGAGAGAGAAACATTGATTGGCTGGCTGCCTCCTGCACAGCCACCACTGGGGATCGAGCCCACAATCCAGGCATGTGCCCTGACCAGGAACTGAACCAGGACCTGCCCTGGCCGGTTTGGCTCAGTGGTTAGAGAGTCGGCCTGCGGTCCAGAGAGACTCGGGTTCGGGCCCCGCTAAGGACATGTACCTCGGTTGCAGTTTGTCCCCGGCCCTGGTTGGTCGTGTGGGTGGCAGCCTCTCGATGTGTCCCTTTCACGTTGATGTTTCTCTCTCTCTCTCTCCCTCCCTCTCACTCTATCTGAACAAAATATCAAAAAATGTCCTCGGGTGAGGATGGAAAAAAAAAAAGAACTTTTCCTTTGCATTCACAATTTGGCTAATTGTTTGGTGCAAGAGGCCTAACTTTTGGCCTATCTCAGTTTCTGGCTTCCGATATGCCTTCTTCACCAAGCTTAATCATTTCTAGTTTATGATTTAAAGTGAGAGACCTGTGACTCTTCCTTTCACTTGAACACTTAAGAAGTAACTGAAGGGTTATTAACTAGCCTAATTTCAATATTTTTGTGTCTTAGGGAAAGGGAGACCTGAGATGGTGGGGGAAGGGAACAGCTGGTTGGCAGAGCAATCAGAATACACACAACCTTTTGGGATTAAGGTCTCTGTTTCATATGGGTGTGGCTTGTGTTGCTCCAAGACAATTAAAATAGTAACACTGAAGATCACTGATGACAGATCACCATAAAAAATAGAGCAATAATGAAAATGTTTGAAATATTGTGACAATTATCAAAATGATACACAGCAACATGAAATGAACAAATGCTATTGGAAAAATGCCACTCACTAGGTATGTAATCCTGGATCTCAGCCTGTTTGGCTCAATTTCTTTTTTTAAAAAAATATTTTATTTATTAATTTTTTATTCTCACCCAAGGACATTTTTTGCATTAATCTTCAGATAGAGCGGGAGGGACAGAGGGTGGTAGGGAGAGAGAGAGAAACATCGATGTGAGAGACATATCAAGTGGTTGCCACCCACACAACCCCTACTGGGGCTGGGGACAAACTGCAACCCAGGTACATGCCCTTAGTGGGAAGCGAATCCAGGACTCCCTGGTCTGCAGGTCGACGCTCTAACCGCTGCGCCAAACTGGCCAGGGCCTCAATTTCTCTCTCTTTTTTTTTTTATTGATTTTTTTAGAGAGAGAAAGGAAGAGAGAGAGAACCATCGATGTGAGAGAGAAACATTGATCAGCTGCCTCCTGCACATCTCTCACCGGGGATTGAGCCCACAACCCAGGCATGTGCTCTGACTGGTAACCGAACTGGGACCTCTCAGTCCTTGGGAGGATGCTCAATCCACTGAGCCACACCAGCTAGGCTGGCTCAATTTCTTTATCTGTGAAATGGAGGAATTTGAGGATTACAAACACAGCCTATGTGGAAATACCTAACACTGACCCCGGCTGATTTTATGTGCTCGGTAAATACTCATGTGATCTCTAGTTCTTATTTGTTACATAATGTTATACAGACAAATCACAAAGTTCTTAAAACACTGGAAAGCTTATCCCCTAACACTGGATGGAGCTTCTCTGACTGCACTCCAGTCTTATCCATAGGTACTGCCATTCAGTGCTTACAGAATGTTGTCCCCTGCTGTTCTCAAAATGCAAACTTGTATTACAACTATCGTTCTCTCTGTTGCCTTTTCTGTAAACACTCTGGCTAATTAGTGCAAAATGAAGAGGCTCGAGTTTGCCGGGCTGTTAATGGAAAGAGCTTTTGACCCTCCTACCAAGGCCTGCAAGTGGAAGAAGCTCAACTCCAAGTTGTCCTTTAAAAAGACAACGGCAGCCCTGGCCGATCTGGCTCAGTAGTTAGAGCATAGGCCCGCAGACCAAAGGGTCTTGGGTTTAATTCCCAGTCAAGGGCACATACCCGGGGTGCAGGTTTGATCCCTGGCCTCGGTCGGTCATGCAAGAGGCAACCAATCGATGTGTCTCTCTCATATCGATGTGTGTCTCTCTCTTTCTCCCTCCCTTTCACTCTATCTAAAATTCAATGGAGCCCTGGCCGGTTTGGCTCAGTGGTTAGAGCGCCGGCCTGCGGTCCAGAAAGACCCGGGTTCAGTTCCCACTAAGGGCACGTACCTCGGTTGCAGTTTGTCCCCGACCATGGTTGGGTCGTGCGGGAGGCAGCCACTCGATGTGTCCCTTTCACGCTGATGTTTTTTTCCTCTCTCTCTCTCTCCTTCCCACTCTATCTGAACAAAAAATGGGAAAATGTCCTCAGGTGAGGATAAAAAAAACAAACAAAAATAAAAATCAATGGAAAAATATTTCAGGTGAGGATTAAACAAAAAAGAGTGGTATTGGCATAAAGATAAGACACACAGACCAATAGAATAGAAGAATATAGCCCAGAAATAAACCCTCATTTATATGGTCAAATTATTTTCAACAAGGGTGGAAAAGGCCATCTCTTCAGTAAATGGTGTTGGAAAAACTGGATATTTACATGCAAAAGAATGAAGTTGGACTCTTACCCATTACTATACACAGAATTTAATTCAAAATGGATCAAAAACTTAAATGTAATATACCGAAAGCTGTAAAACTCTTAGAAGAAAACATAGGACAAAATCTTTACTACATTGAACCTGGAATGATTTATTGGCTATAACACCAAAGGAACAAAAGGAAAAATAAAATTAAAAAATAAACAAATAGAGCCCTGGCCGGTTTGGCTCAGCGGTTAGAGTGTCAGCCCGAGGACCAGAGAGTCCTGGGTTCGGTTTCCACTAAGGGCACAAACCTCGGTTGCAGTCTGTCCCTGGCCCCCATTGGGTGGCAACCACTCAATGTGTCTCTCTTATATCAATGTTTCTCTCTCTTTCTTCCTCCCTCTCCCCCTCTGGCTCTGTCTGAAGATAAATGCAAAAATGTCCTCGGGTGAAGATAAAATAAATAAACAAACAAACAAGCAAATAGAACTTCATGAAAACTTTACAAATAGGCACACACAAAGTACTGTCAACAAAGTAAAAATGCAAAGTATTACCATCCAGAAGACATAGAGAACTTCTAAAACTCAAAAGTAACAATACACAGTATAATTTGGCAAATCAGTCAATATTTATGAATAAGCACAACTGAATTGAATTTCTCAGAAATTACCGCTCATGTAAAGTAGCACAGCACGGGTCAGGAACTGCAAAGGGTTTGGGGTTTTTCTTACTCGCAAGCTAGCAGGCAAGTTAGTGTTGGCAGAAGACATGAGGCTCCCACAAGACACAAAGGTCGTTATTACGGCAATACCAGTTGTTAGTGTATTAGCATTTTCTTTTTAAATGTTTTTATTTTTTAGAGAGAGAAATAGAAACATCGATGTGAGAGAGAAACATCAAACATTGACCAGATGCCTCTTGCACACCCTCTAGTGGGGATCGAGCCCAAAACCTGGGCATGTGCCCTGACCGGGAATCGAACCAGGACCTCTCAGTCCATGGGACGAGCTCAATCCACTGAGCCACACCGGCCCGGCTGTGTATGAGCATTTTTTGTGCTAGTTCCTTGAGCCCAATTCCCACAAGCATGCCTGCCCCTTTGCCCAGAGGATGGCACTATTTCTATTCCCCAAGGCTATTCCAACATCCTTGCAAAGGTTGTTCAAAATAATCAGCACCTTTGCTCATAGGAGGTGCAGAAAGTGAGGCCCAGGAAACATTGTCTCCCTACACTTCACAGAACCTAGGGTCTCT